GTGGGACATTCGAGAAGAGGTCATTGAAGGTCATCTCCTCGAAAATCTGTGATACCATTATATTGTGTCGCAATTAACTTCCACATAATCTATATCACACAGAGGCTGACAAAAAACAACAACAACAACAACAAAGCACTACACATTGAGATAATGAATATGACGACGTAGGTTATACTGTAACGGAAACAAGAAAATGTCTATAGGTAAGAATCTTCATGGTTCCACGAAACCGTCATAAGTACAAATTCGCCAACAACCCATTGAAATACGTGTATTTAATTCCACAAGCGTTTTAATGGATTGTCAGATACTTGTCATCAATACGACTGTTTCATGAACGACGAATAGGTATTCCTAAGACAGACTGTAAATACTATTTATTGTGAAATAATTGCTTACCACTGCCACTTTTGATGAGTGTTTTGATGCCATTTTGTGTTGTCCTCAGATTATAAGCTACAAGCGTGGCTCCTGCGGAAAAGAACAATTACTCTAATCATGTGATCTGACAATCGTTAATGCGATGTTCAAAACCAAGTTCTACCCGCTGATCATGGAGAAGGGTGTCAGTCTTCGACGGGTAATTGGGAAGGGGCAATATGGACCGTGCCTCCCACTGTTTTAGAACCCTCACCTAGTCTCACACTCCGTTTTTATTTCATTTTGTTTGGCAGTGCATTAGAAATTTGTTTTGTTAGATATTATTTTGTTCGTTCTGCCTTTTTTGCTTTGCTTTACTTTGCTTTGTTTTGCTTTGCTTTGCTTAATTTGCTTTGCTTTACTTTACTTTTGCTTTTTTGCTTTTGCTTTTGCTTTTGCTTTGCATGCTTTGCTTTGCTTTGCTTTGCTTAATTTGCTTTGCTTTACTTTGCTTTTGCTTTTTGCTTTTGCTTTGCTTTGCTTTGCTTAATTTGCTTTGCTTTACTTTGCTTTTGCTTTTTGCTTTTTGCTTTTGCTTTGCTTTACTTTTCTTTTTCTTAATTTGCTTTACTTTGCTTTTGCTTTTTGCTTTTGCTTTTGCTTTTGCTTTTGCTTTTGCTTTGCTTTGCTTTGCTCTGCTTTGCTTTGCTTTGCATGCTTTGTTTTGCAATTTGCTTTGCTTTGCCTTGCCTTGTCTAGTTGCATTGCCTCGTCTTGCCTTGTCTTGCTTGGCTTTGCTTGGCTTGGCTTGGTTTCGTTTTGTCTTACTATTATATTTTTCTCTTTTGTTGGTGATGTTTTGTGCTGATGGGCGTGTAACCTGCCACAGACCACTACCTCTCCTAGGATAGTGAGTTGATGAGCACATACCATATTACATCCTATCCTGTAAGAGAAAATAAGATTAAAACAAAATAATAATACGACCCCCTCCCCTCCCATATACTACACCTAAGTTCTGCTGTTGTTTTTTTAAAAGTTCAATTCAATTCAATTCAAAATTTATTCCAGACTCAGCTGCAAGAGCAGAGGTCCATATAAAATATTTACATGTAGATATATAAAACAATGCACAAAAATATGAGGGGAACATATAACAATGAACAAAAGTAAGAGGGGAACCATATAGATATAAGAGAAACAAAAACTAATCCACTTTAATCAACCTATAGCTCTCTGGCGCATGTGACAACAAGCTACTGAACCAGAACTTACACAAGTCTGAGGTTAATTCTCTGAATAAACTTTAAAATTAGATTTCTTACAACAGCTGGACATGCAGGTATATTCACATCTGCAAACATTTTGCTTGCACTAGAGTGCCTATGTATTCGTAAGAGCATCCTCATGGCATCACTATAAGCTACCGTGGGCTTCTTTATACTGCTCTTGTTATACCTACTCCATGTGCAGTATATAACGGTGTACAATATAAGCTCGAAATAATTCAACCTTACCTCTTACGAGAGCACATATGAAACTTTCTGCACAATGTATTACCCTGTACATAACGTTTACGACACTGTCTATAAATATCTCTATCATCACACGGGTCCTCAGTAAAATAATAGGTACTTAGTCTCTTTACAAACATCAAGTTTAGCACCGCACACAAATACAAGTCTGGAAATTGCAACTTACAATAAGTTTTTTACAATTCACAATCATAACGTGACTCTTTTTCGCATTATATTTAACACCATTGTCTATACCAAAACTGAAAACAAACATTGAGCAAGCTCTGAGAACCTTCAGTTGATGGACTAAAATAACAAGATCATCAGCAATTCAGCATACATTAAATGAATAACTTTGGTACTACGTACAAAACAGCCAGTACCACAGTTATTCAATTTTACAGATGATTCATCCATATACAAATTAATTAAGTATGGAGACAATATACCTCGAAGCCGAACACCATCACCATCATGATTGAAAGGTGCCAGGAAAACAATTACCCCATCTCACCATCATAGTCTGGTGACAATACCAATATATCAATATTCTATTTTAAATAAGAAGGAATGCCCCTGTTACTCATTTTGTAAAGTACCAATCCATGATTCACTCTACTCTCTTTAAAAAAAAGAGTGAATTTTCACTCTATTTTCACTTTCTTGGGAGTGACGTCCGTGATCACTTGTTTAGGAGTGAAAATCGATTGATTTTAGAGTGCTCTCTAAGAAGAAAAGAGTGAATGTTCATTCTATTTCCACTACATTTTCACTCTCCAGAGGAGTGACGTCCGTGATCACTTGATTTTTTTTAGAGAGTATCAAATGCTTTGGAGGCATCAAGAAAACACAAAAATATAGAGGAGTTTCTTCTACAATAACTAGCAATATTATCTCTTTTAGAGAAAAAAAACTACACATATCAGTTCCATGCTTCGCTTTAAAGCAAAACTGATTATCATTCATAGAAATATGAAGTTCTAACCAAGTCAATAATAATTTCTCCAATACTTTAGAAAGAACACTGGCCAATGCAATTGATATATAACTATCAAGGCGACCAGCTTTGTCCTTTTATACTGGAACCAAGATGACAAATATCATCCTATCTGGCAAAATACCATGAATTAGAAAACCAGAAAAATATACAGCAAGTCGAGACAACAATTTTGAACTTGCATACTTCAAATGTTCTGCAGACTGCAGTTATAGTATTTATACCACATGACTTATTGACGTCTAATTGCTCGATACCTTCCTAAATTTCCTCAGGGGCAACAATCATGTCATCATGAAAAGAAGCACTATTAACTTAACACGCTTGACACTTGACACAATTAAGCAGTTCTCTATAACTTAATGTTTTTTCCACTTTCAGCATCTCCTGTGACACCTTCATTGTTAGTAGGTACCGTAAACGTGATTTATTGTTATTCATGCATCTAATTTCTTTCCATAATTCCTGATAACTGTGATTTTGCAGTTTACTAGCTGTAAAATCTGCACGCATAGAGTCCTTGTTATTTTTAACAAAACGTAAAGCATATTTATCGAGCGGTATCTCTTTTCTTCATCTCAAATAGAGGGCACTGTTTGCAAGGGTGTCGATTTGTATCCTCAGTTGGGGGGGGGGGGGGGGGGGGGGGGAAATAGGTGCCAAAATATTTTTGGCAATGGATCAAAGCAACCAAGAGGTAGGACGTATGGCAGGTTGCACCCCCTAACTTCCAAGTTTTTAACTTTTTCAAGTCACCCTCAATAAAGATAACATTTTAGAGAATATGGGACCCGTGTGGGTCCCACATGCCCTTGCTACCTGGGTTATTATCCTCTCAAGCATTTAGGCAGGATTTTTTTTTTTTGGGGGGGGGGGGGGGTAGTGAGCACCTCCTAGGGGGTGGGTGCAGGAAGGGGGAGCTTGCTTTGACGTTTCATTAAATTATTAGAGAAAAAAGACGTTTCGTTGTACCATTCTCGACTCTTAATCCTTCCTGAATTCAGTTCCTCCCCCCCCCTTCCCGCGCGAAGCGCGGAAGCTTTGACGTTTCATTAAATTATTAGAGAAAGAAGACGATTCGTTGAACCATTCTCGACTCTTAATCCTTGTCTGAATTCAGTCCCCCCCCCTTTTTCGAGCGAAGCGCGGAAGCTTTGACGTTTCATTAAATTATGAGAGAAAGAAGACGATTCGTTGTACCATTCTCGACTCTTAATCCTTGTCTGAATTCAGTTCCCTTCCTCCCGCGCGGAGGGCGGAAGCTTTGACGTTTCATTAAATTATTAGAGAAAGAAGACCATTCTCGACTCTTAATCCTTGCTAAAATCAGCCCCCCCTTTTTTTTTCGCGCGAAGCGCGGAAGCTTTGACGTTTCATTAAATTATTAGAGAAAGGAAGATGATTCGTTGTACCGTTCTCGACTCTAAATCCTTTTTCTTCCTTTTTTCTTTCTCTCTCTTTTTTTTTTTTGGGGGGGGGGGGGGGGGGGCAACCACCCCCACCACACCTAGCTACGCGCCCAGTCTCCCATTCTCTTTTGCACTTTTGCACTTCGCGCTTAACATTTACTAAGCTCGTTGCTTTTTAACGCTGCGGCTTTGCATTTGACGCTCTTCATTTATATGATGCTGTTGATTGAATAAATTGAATAAATTCATCAATTCCTGATGAAGCCGTATGAGCGAGAATTCATATACGGTCGTCTCGTTTACCTCGTTTTCTATTTATAATGATAATAATAATTACAGCGCTTATATAGCGCCTAACACTTACTTATATATGTTTGTATTATGAAAATGAGATACCAAAATGTGTATATTGATTGTCATCTTGCGAGTAATAACCATTAACTACTCTCATCGGGCTCTCATCATTATTTTTTTTTAGTTTTGTTTTTATGATGAATTATTGGGGGGGGGGGGATGATTGTACAGGCCACCCCCCCCCCCCCCACCTGAAATATTGGGGGGGGGGGAAATATTCCCCCCCCCCCCCCATCCCCCCGGGATCGACACCCATGACTGTTTGATTTTACTAGCCTCCATATGAATACATCAATGAATGAATGAATTAATTAATTAAAAAAAAAAATACTTTTCCCCTCTAGGATTTGGCACATTTGGCTTACCATACAACGTCAAACGTGATGGGATCTCTACGAACTGAATATCACGCGATTGCGTGCAATCGCGTGCCAAATTGCGTTCAATGGGGGAAAAATGGCCAGATTGCCATCGGTACTTCAAACTCGGTAGCGATAACAAAAATTTCTGTAAGTTGATAACTTATTTCCTATTGAAAGTTTAATAATTTGAATGAAGGCCATTCGCATTCTCTTGAGCATTGCCCCACGTGTTGATTTTGGTGCTGTAAGTTTTATGTTGGGCGTGTGTGCGTTCGTATCGTGCGTGTATTGTGACGTGGGGTATGTTATGCTGTATTTTGCTGGGAGTCTATGCCAATACATTGACTTTGTACAGAGACTTTCATTTTATGAGGGATAAATCCTCGGGAGGATGGACAACCCATAAAAGTAGATGGTGAACTAGGGTTATTTTCTAGTTACACGGGATCCGTTTTTTGCATCACCAGGAGGAGCAGTTCGGTAACCCGCGATCCGCGCAAAGTGCCAATGAAAAAAAATTCCACAAAAATACAGTCGATCCTTATTTTTGAGGACGCATTTGTCTGCATTTACGAGGATATCCTTGATTATGAGGACGATCCTCATTCTCGGACTAGCGCCCCTACTGTCACTGATTGTGCCGTTTTCGTGCAAAAATAAAATATAATGTGATTTTTAGTGTACCCAATTTCATCAAAGCCAGTGTGCGCGCTATGGTCTTGCAACCAGCGGTGTGCATTATGCGCTTACGTTAGCTAAGTGATGAGCCGTAGCTACAAACAATCTACAATGTTCGCGGGCCCCACTGTCAAGTAGCCGATCAAGCATCCAAAAAAGGCCGTCATAAGCCCCAGTTTGTGCGCTGAATGTGATATGTGGGATTTTGTTGGGAAGACAAAACTTCCTTTCAAAAATTCAGTAAACACTTCAATTTTGAAAAAACTGCTTAATAATGCGCAATATGGATTAAGTGTATATATAATATGACAAAGTTCATGATAAAACGTACCCAAATTTGGACTTGCCGGGGTGAAAATCAGACAAAATTTCAGCTTTCTAGCGGTAGTAGCAACCAAAATCGCAGACGCAAGAAGCTGCAAGTATGTTGGAAATAGGTACGCACATAAGTTTGCCAAATAACGACATCACTTTTTTGTTAACATGATATCAATCCACCCTTTTCAATACCAATGCATCCAGCTCACAGACAAAAATTTAGCGCACCTTACGTACACTGTACGTAAACATAGATCGTGCGCAAGCGCATCCTCTAGTGCCGAATGACGGACGCTACCCAAAGTAGAAAAAAGCCTGGAAAGAAAAAAGTTCAAAATTCAGGGTTAGGGTTACGGTTGCCGTGAGGGTGAGGAATAGTGCGTAACTATCCTCTTTCCAGGCTTTTGTCTACTTTCGGCAGAATCTGGAGAATTACCAATGTGTCAAAATAGAATAATAAAAATCGCATAGTCCAAAAGGTTTTGAAGAGTTGTTTGAACTTCAAGAGCAAGCAATGGCAAAGCCAGGGAGGGGTTTGGAAAATTGAGGTCACAATTCAATTGTACTTTTGTAGTATTGTACAAAGCGTTTGTACTTTGTTTTCATCTGTGATTTTGGTTTTACTTGTAAACAATAAATGGAAGAAGGTTCTTTGAAATGAGAATCTAGTTTAATTTGATTGACACGATCGAGAAAAGTCAGAAACAACATTGGAAAGATTGGTATGTTTGTCACCACTCACAAGATTTTTTTCATTACATCTTGTCAGCATGAGATTCATTTATTCATTCATTTCTTTCTTTATATATATATAATTATTTTTAATTTCAGTTTATTTTATTTATAACACTTTTATTAGTAGTTACAGTGTATGTATCTATCATTTTGGATTTATTTGAGTTTATTTATTTTCCTTGTTTCTCTTTGTTAGGATGATGGGATGCTTCCAATGTCTTTCGTGCTAAGTGGTCACAAGGATCGAGTCAATTGTGTTAGGTGGATAGAATCCAGTGAATCAGACCATGGGCAAGTCCAGGACTTAGACCAGGAACTTGTATCTGGATCAACTGACGGTGCTCTTATTCTCTGGCGTGGGTCAGTTAGTGAGGTAAGAAGTAGAACAAAAGGATTAAAGGGAAAGTCTACCCTGATACTAACTGCTTTTGATGAATGTTTAGTACAGAAAAAATGGGGAGTGATGCCCTGAAGTTATATCATACTGTATGTCTAATAGAGTTGCTCGTAATTGAAATACAATGAAACCTGCATTTCAAGACCACTCAAGGGAAACATGAAAAGTGGTCCTTATAGGCAGATGGTTATAGGCAGTACAGGTTTGAATGAAAAAATATTCAAGGGAGACAACAAATATGGTCTTTGTATACAGGTGGTCACTAAAGCAGGTTTGACTGTACAAGTATAAATGAGCGCTGAGGATCAACTTTATGAGGGAGAAATCTTGGAAATGCGCCAGAATGGCCTCTATATGAAAACGCACCACATAGATTCCATTTTTACTTTGCTTTGATTATAAACCTTTAGGTCAGTCAGGAACCCGTGACTTTTACTAGCCAATCACCTGTCTGATTATCAAGATATTTATGATTGGAAATCGAAATCAAATTTTGCGTTTGCCAAACGGCTTTCATAACACCACAGTCTACTGGGGTAAACTAGTACGGTAAAACCGGTCACTTGATGATTTGTACTTTTTTTGAGGCACTTCTTGGTCATTTTGAAGGGCAATTTTTTTTTTAGGGCTTCCAGATTACACCATATCACAGACACTGATAACATGTAGGGCTGTGCATCTCAGATTTAACATTGTTAAACGATGCCTTTATTGACATTTATTGATCCTTCCTTCCTTCCTTCCTTCGGCAGCTTGCTCTATCAAGCGTCTTGTCTGGCCACACTGGATCTGTGACAGCAGTAGATGCCATTGCCATTCCAACCTCCTCTGATTCGGGCTTCACACGCAGGACTCTGATCGTCAGTGCATCCACTGACTCCACTGTCAGGATATGGGAGAGGAGAGAAAGAAAGGAGCAAGGAGGAACAGAAGGAGGAGGAGGAGGAGCAGAAGGAGAGCTTGTGTTTGTGGAGAAGCAGTGCATTTCATTTGGATCGGGCTTTGCTGTGGATGTGGCAATGACAGTCATCAGTAGCGGCAATGGTAGGTTCAATCATTGTTCAGGACTGATTTTTTAAAGCTGTCTCTACTAGTTTGGCCAGGGGGATTAGACCACCCTGCAAGGTCACTGACAGGTGGTTATCTCATCAAGTCAGCTCTCAATAAACATAGGAAAAAGAGGATCATGGGGGACCAAGGGGCACCGCTAAGGCATTGTTTTCTATACTTCTACTTCTACGGCGATACTCAGCAGGATCCATAAGTCAGGATGTAGTGCTAAGGAATAAACTATCTAGTTCTTGGTCTAGATGCTTGGTGGAAGCGCTCCCTTGAAGCCCTCCAGTGAAGTAGCGTCAAGAGGGAGCAAGGTCACTGACGGGTGGTTATCCTCTATATAGAGGGAGCAAGTACATCGTAGCTACAAGTAGTACAGTGGGGCTTTAAAGGGATCGTCCCTAAATTAACAATTTGAAGATGATGATAAAATAAGGCAGAAAATGCATTAGATCCAAGAGAATCACTGCTGAAGGCTTATTAGCATAAATCAGTGAGTATCATACATGTACATACATTTCCTACAGAGATTGATTTGATCACGATCAGTGCTATTATCAATTCCTTGATATGTAACAAGCCCTTCAGTTGATTAACCTTCTAATAAAAGTTGGTAGGATTTGTAATTTTCTATTTCTACATTTAAGGTTTTAAAAAGAATATATATTGATAGAAGCTAAGACAAACGTTCAAAGTTATACACATTTTTGTAAAAATAATGTTCCCAATTTGTACTTGTAGAGGGATTTCTATTCTTATAGAAAAATATGCAGCATCAAAAGCTATAATGCAACAAAACTGGACCTTTATGTGTATGCTGACTCATTCTTGTCATACCTTGTGTTTATTTAGGGCCCTCGAAAGTGTATAAATTCAACACTTCACAAAGCCTGCATTGTTTTGTCATACTGACTGATCATCTCAACATCAATTTCTTTTGATTTCACTTAATACACAGTTCCCCTGCTAGCTGTGGGTGGCGATGACTGCAAGGTGCACTTATACACAGAGATCAATGGTGTCTTCACCAGAGTACAGAGTCTTTCTGGTCACGAGGACTGGATTAGAGGACTGGATTTCACGCATGATGGTAAGAAATATTAAAATAAAAGTTTAGTTACAATGTGACCTGAGAGCGATGACATTTTTGGCCAAGTGTTAATGCCTCCTCTGGATTAGGGGACGGGGTTTACACCAGTGGCGGATCCACGGGGGGCCTGCCTCCCCCCCCCCCCCCCCCTCCCCCTTGAGAAAAAAAATCATGTAAAAACACGTGATTTTTACCTTTTTGGGGGGTTGGGCCCCCCCCCCCCCCTCTGGCGATCAAGGGGGGGGGGGGGGGGTGGGGGGTGCAAATTTTTAAATTTTCGAGGACCAAAAAAAAAATTGTACTCACTACTATGCGTGACATTTTCATGACTCGCTGTGCCAGTGCGCGGACGAGGGTACAGTGTATAGCGTACATATAGTGTACGTTTCGAAAAATCGCACACACACATGACGCGACGTGATAGCCGGCCTGCATGCATGCTACGACGTGCATGCGATATACGTACACGAGCCCTGCAAGGAGCTAGCTGAGGCCTCGAGGCGGTCAGCCAGTATGTAGTCTAGCAATTACTACCTTTTTTTTTCTCTTCCCAGTCTGGACCTGATGCTTGACAAAAATGGTTGCCATGCATGACAGCCTTTTCAGACCCTTGATGCGAGACTGTCACGCATAATGTGTGACACTTGGTAGCTCTGGATTGCATTGTTCAGTAAACCATTCTGAGGGGTGTTTCACATAAATCCTTAGCCGAACTTATCTCTAAGTTGGACTTAACAATTATGGAAAGCCGTTACCACCTTTGAAAATATTTTTTCTAAAATTATTTAAAAAGCTGAAAATGTTGATTCAAATCATTCATATTTTCAATTATCATGTGAAATTTCATGTTCTTGATGTGGAATTTATGAAAAGTCTAAAATACTTGAATTTTTGCTTTTGAATATATTTTATTTTAAGGCTACAAATGGCTCTCCATAATTTTTAAGTCCAACTTAGAGTTAAGTTCAACTTAGAATATTTGTGAAACACCCCCCTGTTCTGTATTGTTTTGCATTTACTATAAATGGAGTACCAGTAATAGATGGATTGTATTTTGCTTTGGTGGTGTTCAGATGATGGTGATATTCTCTTAGCGTCATGTGCCCAAGATTGCTTCATCAGGGTGTGGAGGATATCAGCAAGCAGACTCAAAGCTGCTCAAGATACAGAGATCCAACTCAAGAAGAATACCTTCACCGTGTTTCATCAAGGTAAGATTTCAGTAATCAGGCCTGATAATTACCCAATTTAAATCTGTTTCCTGATTTCTAAAAAAAAATCCAGATATTTGTTACCAGATTTTTTTCTTCCTGATTTTTAAAAATATTTTTTCCCCCGATTTTCCCCTTATTTCCTCTATTTTTCCCTATTTTTCCCCAATTTTCTTACTCAAAGGAGGGAATGTTGTTAGATGCTATTCCCCCCCCCCCCGATTCCTCTTCTTCTCTGTTTTTTTACTCAAGGGGGGTGTGGTTGAGGGGGAAAAAAAAATCTTTTTTTTAGTGCTCACTATCATACCTGAGTAATGCAGTGTTTACAGTTAAAAGGAGTGTCGTAGTCGAGTGGTTTAAGCACTTGACTTGAAATTCGAAGGTTGTGGTTCGATCCCCGACACGGCACTAATGTCCTTTGGCAAGGCATTAGTCTTCATTTGCTTCACTCGACCCAGGTGAGGAAAATGGGTACCTGGCAGGAATTAATTCCTTGAAATGCTGGAGCGCTGTAATGGCAGCTGGGCTACAGTCGGTGTAATAATTAATGCGCCTCGGAATAGAATTTCCGTAGAAATGCCTATAATTATTATTATCAATTATTAATGCAGTGTTTACAGATACATGTACAATTACAATGCTAGTTGCTACTCAGGCTTTTGCAATGCGATATTACTCAAATTACAATCAGGCTTGTGACATGCACTTAGACCAAGTACTCAACTTTATCATTAACCAATTTGTACAATCTATGTAGTTTCAGAGCAGAGGTATGCTGTGAGCCTGGAGTCTGTATTAGCTGGTCATGAGCAGTGGATCTATGCAGTACACTGGCAGAAGCCATCCAGGAATGGTACGTAAAGCTGCATGAAGACTTTATTATAGGGATAGTTGAGTTCTGTTTTCAGATCGCAAATGCCTTCAAATTGCATGGATATTGCTCTTATTCTTATCTATGACGCTGCTAGTGCCCTTTTATAACCTAAAATTGCAAAGAAGGTAATTTTAGACCCCAAAATGTGTGAAATTTAGCCAATACAATCATACCAATTCAGCTCCACTTTCAAAAAAATATGGTGACCATTAATTAATTAATTAATTAATAATAATAACAATACATGGGCTTGCTGATTGTGCGTAATATAACCAACACGAAAAAGCCAACAAAAAAGCCAACATCAGCATTGGCTGAAATACAATGTAAAAGGCGCTATTTTGTTTTTTCAACGGCTTTCAACAGCTGGTTCAAATTATCTGATATTTGTGGTGGTACACAAGTATTAGAAATCGTTATATTTATGGACATTTCAGCCCTCTCTGAACCGTTTTTGATCAAACAAAGATGATTTTGTCATTCAAATAGTATGTTCTTTCAAATTTGACAGTCAGTTTTTCATTATCTCACAAAACACAAAAAAATATTTTGTGTAGCACCCTCTGCAACAGAACTCAACTATCCCTTTAACTGATGTATGCTACGTCACTGTGAGAATTTTACCAACCATGACACAAAACAGAGTAAGTGCCCTGTGTCTTAGATGGAGATCAATCTCACAAAAACCTACTTTTACAACAAAATGGATTGGCTTGAACCCATTGCTTATAAGAACCAGTTGGTCCCTGTATTATACGTACATTAGAATGAAAGAATTCAGCAGTCAAGAGGCAAAGTTATTAAATAAACTGTTGTTTACCAGTATTTTTATTTTCTGTGTGGATTTCTTAAAGGGACTTGGTAACATTGTTCAGATGAGAGATAATGGTGCTAAGGTAGTGACTTCAATGCTAGATGTACAATTAAAGATAATCTGAAAATTTGAGTGAAAACGGACCATTATTCATGGTACATATTGGGAAAAACTGATCTGATCGATTCCTTAATTCTCCCAACTATATTATTACAATTTAATTACATTTTAGGTGAATAGAAATCGTCACAAAGCAATAAAATGGCTCTACATTCCATTCCAGACATTTAAGTGTTGACAGATTTTTTTATAGCCTGTTTTATGTCTTTTTTTCATGGAAAAAACGGTTAGGAAAATTCAAAAATGGTTGGGAGAATTTACTGTTAATCACTGTTAGAGGGTGTCATACATCGACTCCTTCAAAGAAAACCATAGATATCTCTGTGGTTTGAGAATTTTTTCACAATTTTTTGCATGTCAGAGGGTTAGTACAGTAGAAGAAATATAGTAAGTAACATTTTATACAAAAATTAAGCAATTTTTTCATCAACCTTCAACAATGTTACCAAGTCACTTTAAGATGCAACCACCTAATTGATGCATTTAGCTTACACATTGTGAATTTACTCTATGGAAATGGTAACCGAACCGAAAACACAGTCAAACAAAACAAGTTTTTAAAAAACAAGACTTGAGATGTCAGCTCAAATCCTTCCTGTACTCAATGAAATATTTCAATCTATTTGGTTGGTTATCTCTATTCTTACTTTTAGGAAATGGTAAATATCACCAGCCTTTGTGCCTATTGTCAGCCTCGATGGACAAGACCATGATTATCTGGAGGTTTGATGACCAAAATGCAATGTGGATTGACGAGGTGAGAATAAACTTTTGGTTCCATGAAGGCAGTTCATGGGTCATCAGTGGATGTTTATTTCCTCTCCTTTTAAATATTTGATTTTTCATATATGCTGTTTCACAACATCTTCCAAAATTTGTTTGCAATTGAATTGTTTACATGTATTTGTATGCAGGTACCTAATCTTATACATGACACTCGAATGACTGTTTGTACATATATATGTGTTACATTTAATTTCTTGTGTATAGTCCAAGAACACCTTGTATCAAACAATCAGGAAAGAATGTTACAAGAAAATGTTCTAATCTCCTATGGATAAACATGTGATGCTGCAAGCCGCAGTGAATTATTTTTATAAGGATTTACATGTACAGTAAGCATAATATGCTTGACATTTCTGCATCCTATAAAACACAGTGAGTACGTGTAGGAAAATTTGTTGTGTGCAGCTCCATCCCTGCTTCCCAATTATCTAGTATAAACCCACAAAAAAAATAAAAAAATAATAGAAACAGAATCCTTCACTTCCTGAGTCATGTGTGAACAAGCCATAATTTGATTTTGATTTGATTTATTTATTTCTGTTTGATTTTCTTTTTCTTTTGCATTTTTACAAATATATAACAAACAAACCATTGCAAATTTTACACATTTCAAAATAATATAATGTCGAATAAAGTAAGGCTGACTGTGACTAATCAACAACAAAAATTAAACAGGAGGGTTGACAAAATAAGTAAAGCTTGATAGCATGACTACCCTCAATGGATACATAATTATATGGATATGGAGGAACAAATGTTGGTAAAAGGGGAAAGAGAGAGAGAGAGAGAAAAGAAAAAGAAAGAAAGAGGGGTTGTGCATCAAGATTTACAGATGTATGTGGTACAATGTAGTTGGATTTCAATTTGATATATGAAGATAAAAAAGAAGATGCACATTTTAATATTAGGTGGCCAACTTGGGATATAGTGTAGAATGAGAAGACTCTGTCATTGGCCAAATAGGCCCCTTTGTTCTGCAAATCAAACTCTCTTGACCATTAAAAAAGCAAAAAAAAAATACTTTGGTGATAGGTCCTTTTCATGCTCTGCTCCACGTTTGCGGAATTCTCTTCCAGCCTCCATTTGTTGCATCTCTGATATTACTTTTTTTTTTTTTAAACTAAAAGCGAATCTAATGGAAAAGGCATATTCAACCTACCAGTAGTTCTTAAATTGTTACCTTACCTTATTATCTTATGTGTGATCAATTCACTTGTGTTCTCTTGTCATTTCTCTGTTTAGTTTTACTTGCATCAATATTGTAAAGCACTTTGATATACAAGTATATAAAGTAGAAGTTATTATTATTATTATTTAACCTTGGACAGGTTCGAGTGGGAGAAGTAGGAGGTAATACCCTGGGGCTGTATGGCTGTCAGTTTAGCCCGGATGGTGAGGCTATCCTATCACATGGCTACCAGGGTGCTTTCCATCTCTGGACCAAGGAGGCGCCCAAGGCATCAGGGGAAGGACAGGTAAGTCTGATGGAACACTTTGTAGTAAAACATACATGTACAATTTGTACCATTACCTTTATCCCCCAAAGAACGACTCCGAAGGATCGCAAGAAAACTTTCCATTTCTGGACCATGATGGCACCCAAGACATCATGGAAAGCAGAGGTTAAGTTGGATAGAACAATTAATGATGGTGCAGTTTAAACTATAGCCCCTAGAACAACTGTGCTAGGAGTGTCATTTTTGACAGACATGGCACATTATGAATGTTCACTACTATTATTAGAATTACGTTGTTAAGATTAAAAAGAACACTTTCTATCTGTTTTATAAATACATGTACAGTCCAGTGCCACAACTTCTCCCAGGTTGCTTAATAGAGCCTTTAATAACCTATATTGGCTGTCGATGCTGATGTCGGGAACAAAGATGCTGCTAAGGTACCGTCTTTTGGTCTCTGGCATCCTTTGTATACCTTTTTGAGAAAGTGCTTTGCAGATCGCATTCCTTGAATTTTTGATGATTTTTTCGTCAAAAATAAAACCAAAATATTCCTCATGACCAGTTTGAAGAATATCCATGCAGCATTTGAAAGATTCTTGTTATTGCAATGATTAATGCTTATGTCAAAGTATTGTCAACAATTACAATCAATATTAAAAAAAGTGTATGGGCAATTAGTGACGTACTCTTCACCAACAAGTGCGCTAATTTGCAGGTAAAAAAATAAAGCCCTGCTGGCATGGGGATTCAGAGAGCTTTATGGAATGTTTATAATTGAGGTCATCCTTCCAAAATTTTTCTGAATTCTTTTCTTGCTTCAGGGTCCAAGCTCGTGGAGTCCGTCAGAGGTGGTCAGCGGTCACTACTCAGGCGTCCAGGACCTAGCTTGGAACCCTGATGGGAATTTCTTGTTGAGTGTAGGCCTGGACCAGACCACTAGGCTACATGCAGTGTGGAGGCGAGACGGCAAGGAGGTATGAGATCCATGTTGTTGATTCTAGCTTGTAGGACGACGATCCGAGATTTGCTCCAGCATATATTTTAGATGCATGGCCTGTCTGATTATCAAGATATTTATGATTGGAAATAAAACTTTCATTTTTGTTTTCCTAATGTTTTTTTTTACACTACAGTCTACTTGGGAAAATGAGTATGGTAAAACCGGTCACTCAAAGATTTTTACTTTTTTGAGGCTCTTCATGATGATTTTGAAGCTCAATTTTTGTGGGGCTTCAATATTACACAATAACACAGATATTACACAGATAACACGTAGGCCATGCATATCAGATTTAACATGGTTAAACGATGCCTTTAAGGTTAGGTTTAGAGTGAGGGCTAGCCCCCAACTCCAACCTAACCTTACTTTCTAAGTGCTAACCCTACATATTTGACAAGAAAAAGCCCCTAGCATATCTTGCAGGCCTGATAAAAACCCGATTTAAATCGGTTTCCTGATTTTTTTTTTTTTAAATGTTTTTTTTCTTCTTCCCTATTTTATCCTGATTTTCCCGATTTCCCCCTTATTTTCTCTTTTCTTCCCTATTTTGCCCTATTTTTCTTAAAATTTTCCCTATTTTTCCCCACTTTTCTTACTCGAAAGGGGGGAATGTTGTTAGATGCCATTTTTCCCCCGCTAATCCTCATCTTCTTTTTTACTCAAGGGGGAAAAACAAAAAAACCTATATTTTTTTAGTGCTCACTATCACCCCTGAACCCTGTTCCATCATTGTTGTAGTTTTGGTGGGTTAGTTACTGTATAATGTATTGTGATCATTATAGCTTCTTAATATGCATTCAATTTGTCTCCCTCTCCAGTCATGGCATGAGATAGCTCGTCCACAGATCCATGGTTACGACATGCATTGCTTAGCTATGATTGGACCTCACTCATTTGTTTCAGGAGCTGATGAAAAGGTACCTAGATAGGCTCGTCAGATATGGCGCAGTAAACTGCCCCCAAAATTTTGCTGCGTTTTTTTTAACGTGTATAAAATGAAAGGCAACTGTAAAAAAGAACTTGCGCATATCAACTTTAGCTGATGTGTTTATAGCTCTGTGTTATACGATACGGAAATGGGGTAGTGTATTTACACTTTAAGTTATCATAAAAAAAACACAGTTTTACCGCATAATATCTGAACGTGCCACTGGATAATAACATAGTGCTGTCAAACGAAACACTTTTTGATTTGATTTGATTTGATTTATTGGTTTCTTAAGTATAAGAAAGTTGCGAATTTCGTAAGGGGTCTAGATTGGCCAGCTTCATACCACGAAAAATACATAAATCTCAATATTTTGCAAGTTCTGGTTTCTTATTGCAAAGAATGTGCAGTCAATAACAATTTTTAACAAAGGTTTCAAAAATATGTGTCAAAGCATTCAAAACGGAGAAATATCAACCCAAAGAGGGAGAATTTTTTTTTTTTTTTTTTTGTTTGTTGAGAATTCTGACTGTGTAGAACAGGTGAATATGCATGTGACACCTGTTCTACACATTTTTACATAATAGTGGTGAAGGGATGTTCCTTTGTTTACCACAGCAATTGTTGAAGGCAGAATGAGAAATTGTATACATGTATTTTGTCCTCTTTCTTTGTCCGTGATGTTCATAGTGTCTTTATCTTTGTCTCCATACTTTTGAATAGGTTCTCAGAGTTTTTGAGGCACCAACCAACTTTCTTAACAACTTGACCAAGATATCTGGGGTTGACACATCATCAGTTAAGGCATTACAGGTATGAAGATTACCCCATCCCCCAACAGACACACACACACAAATGCACCCACACCCACACTGGTCCACACACACCAGCCCACACATCACCCCTACCCCACCCCACCCCACCCACACATTGTTGAATTAAAATGCCTCTATTTATGTAGTTTTACTGACGACACCGCATCATTCCAAATTGACATGGATAGCAAGATTTTGTTAAATAGTCTGATTTTCAGACCCTTGTACCGAAAGGTTGTACGTTTTGTGCTACACAAAGATTCAATCAGTTTAATTCTGGCCATTACAAGAAGTGGGTTATTGATGTAGACAACTGCTCATGTACCTGTTACAGCTCATTTTATGTATGTTATTACCACCAAAAAAAAAGAAATTGGTCAGTTACTGAATAGTGTCTGACAGTACAGTCTAGAAAGTTATTTTTTTTCTTCATAATTTGAATACAAGGACACTGCTAATGTGACATTTCACAGATTGGACATATGTGACATATTTGTAATTCATGTAAATTTCTAGAGAATTTGATGTTGGCTGCAAAAGGGATACAGTACCTTTAAACAATGAATTTGACCATTGCTTTAATATCTTTATATTTGCAAGATTATTGTGAGAGAAAAAAACCAAACCAACATACTTTTCATTTTATTTCAAAACTTCATGGATAATGAAATGACATAGATGTGATCTAACAATAGTTTAGGACTCCAATAGGACTGGAATTTGGAAATGGATCCTCAGATGTAGCATTCGTAATTCACTGTTAGTCCTATTATATTACTCAACCCAGGTGATGTAAATGGGTACCTGGCAGGAATTAAATCTTTGAAATGCTAGAGCGCCGTTTAATGGCAGCACAGCTAAAGCCGGGGTAATAATCTCCAAAGTTTGGAAGCGCATAGTGATTGTAATAAGCGCTATATAAAAACTGAGTATTATTATTATTATTTACTTCTTGTTTACCATCGTTTGAGTCGATTGGCACCTTAGGCAAATAAAGGGGTAAATCTAAACCTCCTTTTTTCCCCTCTGTAATCCGGGCCTTTGAGTGGCTCTCTTGAGACAATTTAAATAAGGTTTATTACAAACAGAATCAGGGGGGTGTTTCACAAAGATTTTAAGTCAAACTTAACTCTAAGTTGGACTTAGAAATTATGGAGAGCCATTTGTAGCCTTAAATAAAATATATTCAAAAGCAAAAACTCAAGTATTTTAGACTTTTCATAAATTCCACATCAAGAAAATGAAACCTTGTATGATAATAGAAAATATGAATGATTTGAATCAACATTGTCATGCCTCTAAAATAACTTTAACAAAATATTTTCAAAGATGCTAACGGCTTTCCATAATTGTTAAGTCCAACTTAGAGATAAGTTCAACTTAGGATCTTTGTGAAACACCCCCCTGGGACTCATTCCCTTTGCAGGAGACCAAGAATCTAGCGGAGGGTGCCAGTGTACCAGCTTTGGGACTGTCTAACAAGGCTGTTTACCAGGGAGAGGGGGGTATGCCTAGCGTGGACAGAGAGATCCATCATCCTAGCGAGCAGTACACTGAGATTTACTTTGCACCGGTTGCTTTGGAGAGTAAGTGTTACTTTTTTCATGTATATATAGTTGTCACTCTCCACCCAGGGAAGTTAAAGCGGGTACCTGGTAGGAGGAAATTCTTTGTATGCTTGAGCACCTTTTAGTGGTAGCCAGACTAAAGTTGGGTAGTAATGTGATTGTAGTGGCCTCAGAAAGAATGGTATTATTACAGATGAGGCTACCATGGATAAACAACACACAACATCAAGAATTATAATATAATAATAATAATAATACATAAGATTTATAAGGCACCAAATCCACTTGACAGTCAAATGCTCAAGGCGCAGCTTGTGCAAAAGATGAAATACATGATACATAATATATACAAAAGTGCAATAGGAAAGGTACAGACATGAAAGATAATGGTAATCAATTATAAGCTAAATTAAACAGATATTTCTTAAGATTGTTTTTTAACACTTCAGCAGAACTGCTATTCTTAATCCATTGAGGGAGAGTATTCCACAATGATAATAGTAATACTGATAGTAATCATGATAATGATAATGATGAGGATGAAAATGATCAGAATAATGATAATGATCCTGATTTGCCTAACAGGCCCTCCAACTGAAGATCACCTGCTACAAAACACCCTGTGGCCAGAGACTCAGAAGCTGTATGGACATGGTAATGAAATCTTCAGCGTTGCTGCTCATCCCTCAGGAAACATCATTGCATCAGCATGCAAGGTAAAGGGTCTGACCAGGGGGTGTTTCACAAAGATTCTAAGTCAAACTTATCTCTAAGTTAGACTTACAAATTATGAAGAGCCATTTGTAGCCTTAGAATACAATATTTTAAAAAGCAAAAATTCAAGTATTTCAGACTTTTCATAAATTCCACATCAAGAACATGAAATCTTCAATGATTATAGAAAATACGAATGATTTGAATCAACATTCTATGCCTTTTAAAATGACTTTTACATACTATTTTCTAAGATGCTAATGGCTTTTCATAATTGTTAAGTCCAACTTAGAGATAAGTTCAACTTAGGATCTTTGTGAAGAACCCCCCTGACCTCAACGATAACAATATGAATCCCTTGCCTATGGGAACCAGATGACTCCTGTATAAGCCAGTTCGTAAAAAACTTTGGAGCTCATGACCCCAAAATATCCACAGATCTTTTACATGATGGCTACTTCCCACTTGTGCATTTTAGAATAATCACTGCCAAAGTGATGGAGGTGCTTCATGAATACCTTGTGTTTGCCTCTAGAGAAGAATACATCCACCTGTGTATCAGATAAATGTACTGTCAGTGCATAAATGAATACTGATTACATAACTGTCATGAGCATGATACCAGTATTTGCCTCAACAGGTTTTACAATTTGGGAACAATTACCTTAATCTGCCCATGCGCAGATAGTATTTATGACTGGCTTATAAATTGAGCCTTAGATGCAAATGAGAGGATTCAGTAGTCTACAAGTTGAGGTATAGACCAGTTTTGGAATCGCCCCCCTCTCAAAAAGTGAAATGGAAGCTCTTAATACCAATCATGTGAAAGAATATGTTCCTACTAATACGTGATGATACAAAATTTGCCAGGAAACCGCCTGCTAATTGATATATTGGGTAAATTATCATATCGATCCAGCCTGGAAAGAGATCACGAATGCACTTTTGGGTCATATACATGTATTTCTGCTTTTTTTTTGCGAATTTAGGTTGAAGTATTACCATCTAAACCTCTGCAGGCAATATTTAAACAATATTGAATACCGGTAGATACTTTGCACCCAAATCCCTTCTTGAACCGCAATTTTACTACTACCGGTCTTTATCTTTAAATCATTCTAATACCATGTAGCTCCCCTGTTGTTTATGTGGGAAATGAATAGACTTGTTTACTAAATTTATGCATACTTTTTCATCAAAAATTTTTCTTGACAACTAAAAAAAAAAAATTGCCATATGCTCAACTGACATAGCAACAACCAAATTATGCCAATCCCCTCCGTAGAGATGCCATTAATAAAAGCAGGAAAATGAAATGGCTGGTAACAAGGGGTTACGGAGAGGAACCTAGTTACATGAATTGAAATACATTTAATTTAGTAAACAGGTGTATTGTATTAAATAGGTCATACCTCAAAGATTTATGGCAATGAAGTATGTATCTCTAACCATTTTGAATCAAACCACACCTCTACCCAAATTTGGTTATTGTGTAATTTTTGATTTATTTTTTTTAATTCCTGTAATTTCTGTAGGCAGCGAAGCCAGAGCACGCAGCCATCATCTTGTGGGATACATCGTCATGGCAACAGAGAGGTCAACTGATGGCTCACTCCCTGACGGTCACTCAGCTTGCGTTCTCTCATGATGGCTGCTTTCTGCTCGGAGTGTCCAGGGACAGGACTTGGTCTCTCTTTGAAGAAGTCCAGAGCGCAGGTGGGAAGACTAGAGAGATGGCCATTCTTAAAGGCATCGTTTAACAATTTTAAAGGGATAGTTGAGTTCTGTTTTCAGACCGCAAATGCCTTCAAAGTGCATGGTTATTGCTCTTATTCTTATCTATGAAATTTATAGTGCCCTTTTAGAACCTAAAATTGCTATGAAGGTAATTTGATACCCCAAAATGTGTGAAATTTAGCCAATACGATCATACCAATTCAGCTCCACTTTAAAAAAAACATGGTGACCGTTAATTAATTATTTAATTAAAAATAACAATACTTGAGCCGGCTAATTGTGGGTAATATAAGCAACACGAAAAGGCCAACAAAAAAACCAACATCGGCATTTGCTGAAATACAACGTAAAAGGCGTTATTTCATTTTTTTTCAACGGTTTTTTCAAATTTGTCAAAGTATCTAATATTTGTGGTGGTATATAAGTATCAGAAATCGTTATATTTCAGTCGTCTCTGAACCGATTTTGATCAAACAAAGATGATGTTTTCGTTTAAATATTATGTTCTTTCAAATTTGACACTCAGTTTTTCATTATCTCACAAAAAAATTATTTTGTGTAGCGCCCTCTGCAACAGAACTCAACTATCCCTTTAAATTTTAGATGCACGGCCCTACGTGTTACCAGTGTCTGTGATATGGTAGTATATTTTAGCCCTAGACAAATTGCTCTTCAAAATGATCAAGCATTGCCTCCAAAATAAAATCTTTGAGTGACCGGTTTTTCCATACTCATTTTCCCCAATAGACTGTAGTGTTTTTAAAACTGTTAGGAAAACGTTAAATTTGTTTTCGATTAAATATCTTGATAATCAGACAGGCGATCGGCTTGTAAAAGTCATGGGGTTCCTGACTGACCTAAAGGTTTAAAATTATGATTGCAGCATGAATCCGGGATTTTGTTTCAGAATCTGAGACAAAGTTACCGAATCCCTTTCATGACAATCATCCCATATTTTGTATTAATAGCTTTTGATTCAGAGACTTAAAATATATACCAGATACACGAATAGGAAGGGCAAAAGCTATTGCACACACTGCACACAATGCTAGGAATTTCGAAGAAAAAAATGAGCTTTATAATCCTTAAGTTGGCAGCACATTGAGGGGGTTCAAAATCGTTGGGTCATTATTTTTTTATTTTTTTTATTATTAGTGTGCTTTAAACACCTTGAGCGGTGGATGTGAATGCTATAAAAACATCTAATATCATTATCATCATAAATTTTGATGATGCTCAGGATGATAATTATGATGATGATAATGGTTATTATTGATTTTATCAACATTATAATTATTATCATTATAATAATAATAATAATAATACTCAGTTTTTATGTAGCGCTTATTAGAATCACTAAGCGCTTCCAAACTTGGAGATTATTACCCCGGCTTTAGCTGTGCTGCCATCGCGGCGCTCTAGCATTTCAAAGAATGAATTCCTGCCAGGTACCCATTTACATCACCTGGGTTGAGTGTGGCAAATGTAGATCAATGTCTTGCCAAAGGACATTAGTGCCTTGGCGGGTCTCGAACCGCGGACCTTGTGATCGACAGTCCTGCGACTTAACCACTCGACCACGGCACATCTACATTATCATTGTTATTATTACCATTATTTGTATTATTAGAAGTAGTATTATCATTGTCAATGTTGTTGCCGTTATTATTATTAACAGGGATTCGCATTATAATTTTGGCCCACCAAATTAAACCCTCTTTGATTCTCACTGATTTCAATAGATAATCCGTATAGGCTGATAGCACACACCGATAAGAAGACATCAGTACATTCGCGTATCATCTGGGCATGCTCTTGGTCACATGATAGTCAATTTTTTGCTACATCCTCCAGAGATAAGAAGGTAAGCTTGATCATTTTTATTTTAAATTATTTTGCTTTTATGTAGCGGCTAATCGTTCCTATGTGGAGGAATGGTTGATATATTTGGTAAATTATCATATCTATCTGGACTGGGTAGATATCGCATAGTCCCATATACATTCCAGAACCTTGCAGTACACACCAATACTTATATGCTAGATGATCAACCTTTTCTGATTGATTCCACAACGTTTCTTTCACAATGTAATCGCATGACCAGAACTGGTCTATACCTTTAACCCTATTTAACCCCCCCCCCCCTCAACATTTTTCGCTATAATTTTTTAATGCAAGAAAACATTGCACTGAAATTTTGTGACTTTTTTCTTTCGAGTCTTGTGCATCTTTTGAAAGAAATTTTTCGAAAATCGGACCCACCATTACAAAGTCATGTGTCCTTTTGTCTTTGCATGTCAGCCTGAAAATCGCTCATTTTTGTGCTTTGTGTACAAAACATATTGAAATCTCATTTTTCAAATAAAGAGATAAAATATTGGTTATTTGGTCTTGTTTATAGTTTAGGTGTTTATTTTGGGGTCAAAATAGTTGAATTATAGTTGGAAATGAAATAAAACAACAAAAACAATAACATACATAAGTTAAAAAACAAAGAAATACATAAGAAATTATCAAAACAATAGATAACATAAGGAATAACCCTGGTTTTTCAATTTTTTGTGTTGTATTATTATTCCTAATGGTCTAACAAATATACATGTATGTAGTGAGAAAGAATGCTTAAATATGAATTATGTCTGATTTATGGGCAGAAATGTGAATTTTATGACCTTATTTGCATAAATTACCATAAATATGCAAATGAGTGAATTTTTCAAAAAATTGAAATTACCATAGTATTCTATACACTTCACTTGACATGTATGCAAATTTTCGCGGCGATCAGGCGTTTCACGGCCAAGATCATAGGGGGGGGGGGGGGGGGGGGGCCTTAGAAGCCCCCCCTTGGGCTATGCAGTTTCAAAATAGCCCAACTAAATAGGGTTAAAGAGAAGGTCAAGGAGTTGAGCAATTATATTTCAGCCTCAGCTTGCAGCCTTGGTGAAATATAACATCAGATTTGGAAGACCAAATAATCCAGAATTTTGTAAAAATCTAGATGGAGCAAAATGGTTTACTGGTAGTAATGTTATATAGTACTGTGGAGCAGGAGTCATTCATGCAGTGAGTAAAAGCATACCTGCCAACCTTTCACAGCAAGTATTAGTAATCTTGAAAGGAAACATTAGGATTACTGTCTATTCTTGATATTTTTACACGAATTTGTTTTCAGAAGAAGTTAGGATATCATAACATTAGTTTTGAGGGCCAAAATATAGCAATTAGTAGGCGGTTTTCCGGCAAAATTTGTGTCATCACATATGAATCAAAACATATTCTTTCACATGATTGGCAATAAGAGCTTCCATTTCATTTTTTGAGATTGGGGCGTTTTTCAAAACTGGTCTATACCTTTAAATATTTTTTTTCTTCTTCTTTTTCAGGTCATTGTGTGGGGTAAGAAGACAAGCGTGGATGAGGACCAAGGTGACGCCGGTCCTCTTGGACAGTACGGAGCTATGTCCAAGCCGCTGGACGTTGGTGATTCTGCCACAGCTATAGACTTTGCCAGACAACTCACAACAAATGGAAGGTAAATAAAGAATTAGTTATGGAGCCATTGTATTGGAATTACTAAAATGTTATAATGATAATATTGATGATAATAATATTGGATATTTTTATAGGGCTCATATCCACCACGCAAGGTGTTTAAGGCACTCCGGCTCAGGTCGGCTACTGATTTCGGTGAAATTCAAGAAATTCCTTCCTACCGGTACCCATTTAGCACCTGGGTGGAGAGTGGCAAATCGTCGGTGGGGTGACAAAACCTTGTATCTTAATTTTCTGAGATTTTGATTTTTTTGCATAATTTTGTATGTAATGGCCTACGACACCACCTCATAAATCCATGGAACGCCTCCTTCTCGGTTTTTTCACAAATTCCACACAAACACCCTTAAACTAAATCTCGTAACTTTAACCCCCTTTGAAGCTGCACTGACAAAACCTCGTAACATAAGATACGTAATTCCTTTTCCTCGTATAACTCACACACGGCCTATCAGTACCGAAGTTAATGTATACAAATCCTTGTAACTTATTCAACCAAATCCTGGTAACTCATCCAGAGTTGAAATTAAGAACTTGTATCTCAATTTGAATACAAACTAAAAACTTGTATCAATGTAGATAAACGCAAAAACTTTGTAACTCACTTTCAAATATAAAATCAATTATTTTACTGTATTTCAACAATGACATTAAAAATTGTATAAATATTCCAGTTTTAAAAAGAAAGAACGGTGTCACAGCACTAAATTTGTTGAGACAGGAAAGTTTTTTCGCTCTCCTGAAAATTCATGATTTTTGAGATACAAGGTTTTGTCACCCCACCGACGGAATGTAGATTAATGTCTTGCCAAAGGATATTCATTGGTGTTGAGGCAGCACTTGACAAAGTCTGAGTGATGATATGACTTCTTAAAATTGGTTGTATGACGCATGCTCCTGCAACCATTGCTCAGCCATCAATTTCCTGCTCTTACCATACTTCAAACTTCATTCGTGGATTAACCATTAACTAATAGTGTGTTTAGGTTAACCCTATTTAGCCCGGGCTATTTTGAAACTGCATAGCCCGGGGGGGGGGGGGCGTCTAAGGCCACAAATCACAAAAATGAGCGATTTTCGGGCTGACATGTAAAGACAAAAGGACACGTTACTTTGTAATGGTAGGTCCGATTTTCGAAAAATTTCTTTCAAAAGATGCAAAAGACTCAAAAGAAAAAAGTCACAAAATTTCAGTGCAAGATTTTCTTGCGTTAAAAAATTATCGCGAAAAATGTAGAGGCGGGGGGGGGGGGGGGGGGGGGGCTTCTAAAGCCCCCCCCCCCCCCCGGCTAGATAGGGTTAAGTGCTAAGCCTGGCGCCTCCCCCGCATTCGTGTTCCCAAAATCCAATGGCTTCTATTGGTAAATCAATAATGATAAATCAAAATCGACTTTAGCAACTGTCCACCAAAAAATTGTTGAGTGCAAATTTGACAATTGTAATTAAAGTAAACCTATCTTAGTAGTTTTTAATTGTGCAGCTGTGATTGTTCTATGTAATCATATTTGACTTTGGGTCTTACATGTAGTGTGTTTAGGTATATTGTAACCCAGTCATGTCCAATGGCTTCTATTGGTAAATCAATAATGATAAATTGAAATCGATTTTAGCAACTGTCCACCAAAAAATTGTTGAGTGCAAATTTGACAATTGTAATTAAAGTAAATCTATCTTAGTAGTTTTTTACTAGTGCAGCTGTGATTGTTCTATGTAATCATATTTGACTTTTGGTCTTAGAGTGTGTTTAGGTATATTGTTAGACAGTCATGTAGAAAATCACACGCACAGCTCACAGAAATGGGATATGGGACTACACACTCATGTGGCATGAGTTTTTGGTCTAAACCTCTCAGCTATTTCTTGATGTATATTCAAAATATAAAGGCATTTGAAGAGCAATCATTTTTAGGGGACATATTCACTATGGCATTCTTCCAAACTGATATTAAAAAAAGCTCACAAATTAATTATATACTTTACCGGAACTCAAGCGTGTTAAAGATAAAGTTGAGTTCTGGTCATGCAATTGCGTTGTTAAAGAAACAGTGTGGAATCGATCATAAAAGGTTGCTCATCTAGCATAGGCCTATAAGTATTGGTGTGTACTGCTAGGTTCTGGAATCATCAAAATGATAAGAAATTTGGCCAAGTCTTGGTAAAATTACAAGCACCTGTACACCAAAAGATAAATATGGGGCTACACGAACATGTGTCATAAAAATCTGTCCCGATATTTACGTTGTTTAATGCCATATTTAGAATATGAAAGCATTTCAAGAGCCATGCTTTTCGGGGAACATTTTTTATCTGATGTTCTTCCACACTTGCATAGTAACAATGATAACGCTAACAAATTATTTTTCACCTCTTCCGAGAACTCAACCTTCTAGTACTTAAATGTTTATTTTGACAGCTACATCCTGGCTGTTGGTGTAGAATCAGGATCAATATCAGTCCATTCATGGCATCCTTCCCAGCCAACTGCATGGACGTGTCTCGTATCCTTACCTAAACAGTGAGTAGAATATACCAGGGGTCAGTTCTCTATTTTTTATGAAAGCATGTAGGACTTGCATTTGTGGTGAATTCATAATAATAATAATAATAAAAACGTTACTTATAAAGCGCTTACCACCGAAGTCTCTAAGCGCTACAACAAACAAAGTAGACTGATAAACAATTACAGTGTGTACATATTAAACAAAACAAAATAGTGCAAATAAACCTACAGATTACAATACATGTGAAATACACATCAATTTGAACAGGATAAGTTAATGAATGCAAAAGCAATCTTAAATGTATGTGTCTTAAGACAAGTTTTAGATAAAAGGACTTGATAAAAGTGTAAAAAGATTCCTCTATAGTATTAATATTTGTGTACTCCAATCAAATTCACTTTTGGAGAGTGTTATATTTATAATTGGTTTGATTATTTTTTTCCAGCTCGGGTCACACCATGACTGTTAAACGATTGAGCTGGAGACCAACAAGTAGAAGTCAACCTGGTGAATCCAGTCAGAACCGGTTCCAACTGGCTAGCTGCAGTTCAGACGGGAGTGTGCGGATACACATGTTCGATAGCCTGTCGTGACATTATTCCTCCTCCTTGAAAGCGTAGAAACTGAAGGGCTACAAGTTTATAGACACTATTTTGACATTATTGTGGCACTATGGGCCATGGCTTTCACGAGCATAATAGCGCCATGTGAGTTGGTCAGCAGTAGATTTAGTACTTACATTTTAATAGTATATCCCCCCCCACACACACACACACACAATCGGTATGTTTCCATCAGCTCAAGATTGCCAAATAGCCTGCTATTTCTGATTTAGGAAATAAGCCAGAAGTCACAAATCCCGTCTTCATCAGCTTGAGAAATTAGCTCGAGATATTTTGCCCAGCGGTCGCGAATAGTGCGAGTCTTCAGGCTGGTGAAGTCGGGATATTTTGCAAACCAGCTAAATATATCTTGGGAATGTTTCCCGAGCAAATTGCCCGCTATTTGCCGTGCGCCTTCACCTGCCAAATAGCCTGCTATTACATGATCAGGCTTATATCCAGGCTCAGAAATAGCGGGCTATTTGGCAATCTCGAGCTGATGATGAGGACAGGCGTTTGGATGTTTTATTTCCCTCATGGCCTTTGACACCTTCCATTCTTCAGCATCCACCTGGGTGAAGTCAGGGGGCAATTTCATAAAACGTTTAATCTATAACAAATGCTTAATTTCTATGATAAATTTGCTCTCGTCCAATAAGATGCCTTGATTTCAGTAGCTTATAACAGTAGCTTGTAACTTGTTATTGATATCAAGTTTTATGAAACCGGGTCCAGATGCTCTTGTTCCGTCAAACATGGGGTTCTGAGCCATCGTCAATCTGGAGATTCTGATCATTCCTCTCTGAAGCCATAATAATAAATAAATAATAATAAATCAACTTTGTTTGAATTAGTTGTGCCATACCATCTCAATGTACCCATCCTTATCACCTGTAATATCTCAGTTGCGCCAATGAAACCTATACCTGACTGAACAATGAAGTACCCTGGTACATTATTATCTATATGAGGCTTCCAATGGTACAATAAATCAGTGTATTCAATATCTTTAGCGTAGTTTCCGGATGACTGACCAATATTGTTTTTGTATTGCTTAGTCATCCGGGAACTTCAACCATCGATATCGATATCACGCACAAAATAGCCATATTTACCGAGGTAACTCAAATTTTGTTATTTCGCTAGCCTGATAAAGATAATAATAATAATATTATGTGGCTTTGTTTTCGTGTGATACAAGAATATATTGCTCTCGCTCTGACAATATTGGATATATTCTTGTATCACACTCAAAGCCATCCAATATTATAAAAATACCCCAAATGGCCTGGGATTATTTGGTTTGGAGTCGGTCCGATGTCGCTCTCGTTGGTGTTACTGAGGTATATGATTTTTGTCATTCCTAAGAGTTAGATGAGATTTTCATTCTCCTTTCTGTCATGTAGAGAGGTCTTGTCCTTCCGTCTAATCATCTTCATCTCAGCCTGTGCTACACTTGTGACTGACAGCGTGTTCACACACAATTTTTTTATCCCGAAACTCTATAAAGAAACGTCGTATAAAGAATCATCGTATAAATGTCAGGGTGTCCACACACAAGAAACGTCTTATAAAGAATCATCGTACAAATTCCAGGGTGTCCACACACACCAGAAAGTAATTCCGAAACTCTACAGCGAAACGTTGTATAAGTGCGCAGTTTTACTACTGCTGTCATGAAATGAATGCGGAAATGAGAGGTCAGGTCTCCTTTCGCGTGCGGTCACGTAAAACTCCGCCCAGTTATACCATTATACCATCTAGTTTAACTAGTTATACTAGTTACATCCACACACAGCACATTCCGTAATTAGGCGTGATTCTCTATTGACTTCTAGTTCAAAATGATGCCCAAACCCGCGTGATATAGCCCGGGCTATGATGAATTTGTTGTGTGTGGACACGGGGTGGTAAACATCTTTCATGAGTGTTTAATCTAATTATAAGCTAAGGTACCCATTCTTTGAGTAGGAGTCTTGCACTAGAATATTCCCTGATTCACTCTCAAAATTAAGTTGTGCATGTACTGTCCTGATTCATTTAAATTCCAAAAAGGCCACCAAAACTACCTTTGAATGAATGAAAAAGTACAGCTAGTGAAATGTTTTAAACATAAAGTATATACGATTATGAGTGTTTTAATATAGTCACATGTTTTGCAACAGGTTTTTTATTTTTCCTTTTTCCTTTTTAATCTAGAATAAATTACAAACTGGACAAGGCCTAAAAGCACAAACTAATTACTTTTTTTCCCGTAAGGGGGGGGGGGGGGGGGGGGGGGGGGGGGCTCGTTAAAAAAAAATTGTTCTTGGCACCTTCCCCCCCCCCCCCCCCCCCCACCCCCTCACTCTGTCAGAGAATTTCTGGATCCATCCTTGATTGATATCACCATATATGGAAAAAATTCCTGTGGCAATGTGGTCACGATGTTTGAATTCATAGTTGAAATACATGTACCGTATAGTGAAACCCGCTTTAGTGACCACCTGTATGTAAAGACCACCTGTCTTTAAACACCTTGAGAGGTCTTTATATACAGGTATATTAAATGTTCCTTGTCATCATGATTCTGTGTGATTCATTGTGATTCAGTTATTTTGTGTCATGAAACCGCTATGAATCCAGGCCTGATAAAACCCAATTTTAATCGGTTTCCCAATTGTTTTTTTTTTTTCTCCGATTTTTCTTTTTTTTTTTTACCCAATTTTTTATGCCTCCGCCACCGAAGGTGGTGCCGGAGGCATCATGTTTTCGGGTTGTCCGTCCGTACGTCCGTCCGTACGTCCGTCCGTACGTCCCGTTTGACCGTTATCACAATATCTCAAGAACCATTTAAGATTTAAACTTAAGACTCGGGAATAGTATTTATCACCATAGGAAGACGATCTGATTAGATTTTGGAGTACGTAGGTCAAAGGTCACAGGTCACAGAGGTCAACTTATGAAATTCCTTGTATTGAGTTTGTTAGCGCGATATCTCAAGAACCATTTGAGATTTAAACTTCAAACTTAAGGATAGTATGTATCACCATAGGAAGACGATCTGAGTAGATTTTGGAGCACGTATGTCAAAGGTCAAGGGTCACATAGGTCAACTTATGAAATTCCATACATTGAGATTGTTATCATGATATCTCAAGAACCACTGGAGATTTAAACTTCAAACTTGGTGATAGTGTGTATCACTATAGGAAAACAATCTGATTACATTTTGGGTCACGAGGTCAAAGGTCAAAGGTCACAGGGCTCATTATGTATGCAAAAACAGCTTGTGATCGCGTTATCTGAACAACCGATTGATGGATTCCTGCCAAACTTTGGTCATGTATGTACTTTGCAGAGTTGATGAACTGATTAGATTTTGGGGTCACGAGGTCAAAGGTCAAAGGTCACAGGGCTCATTATGTATGCAAAAACAGCTTGTGATCGCGTTATCTGAAGAACCGATTGATGGATTCCTGCCAAACTTTGGTCATGTATGTATCTTGCAAAGCCAATGAACTGATTAGATTTTGGGGTCACGAGGTCAAAGGTCACAGCGCACATTGTGTATGCAAAAACAGCTCGTGATCGCCTTATCTCAAGAACCGATTGATGGATTCCTGCCAAACTTAGGTCATGTATGTTACTTGCAGAGCTGATGAACTGATTAGATTTTGGGGTCATGAGGTAAAGGTCAAGGTCATGCGGCTCATTATGTATGCAAAAATAGCTTGTGATCGTATTATCATTAGAACAGAATGATGGATTCCTGCCAAACTTAGATCATTTATGTATCTTGCAGAGCCAATGAATGGTTCATAAGATCAAAGGTCATGGGCTCATTATGTATGCAAAAATAGCTTGTGGACGCATTCTCATTAGAACTGACAGATGGATTACTATTTAACTCAGGAAATCTTGCAGAGCCAATGAACTGAGTAGATTTTAGGGTCATGAGGTCAAAGATCAAAGGGTCATATATGTACATGTATATGAGAAATTGCTTGTAATCACGATATTCTGAGAACATGTTAATGGATTACAATTGAACTTGAATTTGAAAAATTTCTTCCGTTTCGGTTTGTAAAATTGCTCTATGACGGAGGCATCATTTTCGACTGCGCGCGGTCGAATTCCATCTAGTTTTCTACTTTTTTTTTCTCCATATGTTCTCTATTCTTCCCTATTTTTCCCTATTATTTCCCAATTTTTTTTACTCAAAAGGGGGGAATGTTGTTAGATGCCATTTTCCCCCCGAATCCTCTTCCTTTTTTTTACTCAAGGGGGGCGTGGTTGAGGGGGAATTTTTTTTTTTATATTTTTTTTAGTGCTTACTATCAGTCTTCCCTGGAATCTGAACTTGGGGAATCTGTGAATGGTCCATGTATACACACATTTCTTGCTCTAAACTATTTATGATCAATGAATCATGATGTCTCCTTTGCTTCTCCAGACAATAAATAATTTTTCATGTAAAAGAACTTAATTTCCTGTAGCAGTATATATTATTTCAACGTTAATGTATTAAGAAAACTAATACAAGTGCAAAGCTCATAACAATACTTTTTAGCAAAATTGATGATCAAGGTAGATGTCATATAGCAAAAACGTGTTCAACCATTTTAATAAAAACATTCAAAATACATATAATAGGTTTTTCAATGATAATACATGAATGTCAAAATTTGAAATAGATTTAGTATAAAACAAAATAATTGTTAAATGAAATGGTGAGAGTATCCACGGAGAAGCATACGTTTGTGAGCAGAGGTTCCCTGTATTAAAGTTTTTTTTTTTTTAAAGGGTAAGAAAATACGAATGATTACTGATTACCTACAGAATGTGTACACATACACCCAACACACACACACACACCATCACATATGCACACACACACAAGCATACATAGTTAATAGACAGATAAAAGGTGGAAGGAGGGGTAGGAGTAGCAGAGAAGGGAAGAGAAGAATTGCAATAAAATGCATAGTGTTCTAGGGAGGGGGGGGGGGGCGATGTCTCTTTACCTGGTTACATGAATATCAACTAACCCATTTCTACATTTTATGAGCAAGATTGATTGTTTTGGAAAAAAAAAAACAACAGGCATACACAACAAGTAGATATGCTTATATAGATCTTGGGATATACAAAAAGAGAAAAGTGAATACAGTGGGATTAACGTTTCAGAAAGACCAGGGGGATGTTTCACAAAGATTCTAAGTTAAACTTATCTCTAAGTTGGACTTAACAATAATGGAAAGCCGTTAGCATCATTGAAAATATTTTATAAAAATTATTTTAAATTGCATAAAATGTTGATTCAAATCAATCATATTTTCTATTATCTCGGGAGATTTCATGTTCTTGATGTGGAATTTAAGAAAAGTCTAAAATACTTCAATTTTGCTTTTGAATGTATTTCGTTATATGCTACAAATGGCTCTCCATAATGTTTAAGTCCAACTTAGAGTTAAGTTCGACTTAGAATCTTTGTGAAACACGGCCCCCCCCCCCCAAGGATATGTAATGAGAAAAAGAGATAGAGGTGGATGGAGCGAGAAAGAGAGATTGAGGCAAATGGAAAAAGAGTGAAAGTATAATATCGGTATTAATTGGGAAAACAAAGCTAAGAAACGGGAAGGGGAGGGAAGCAAAAGAAAGCGTAAACAAGAGAGAAAGATGACATATCTTAATTAGGAGCATGTGGATCAAGACAAAGAGAAAAAGTGACTGGTGTAAATGGAATTTTTTTTTGTCGGAACAACATAGATAAAAAGATGTATTTGCCAATAAAATTTTAATTATACCCTAGAAGTGAAGGCTGCTTGAATAATTCTATTTTCATAATCCTGTTTTTAAATAGTCCTCCACCCCCTCCGACTCGACGTCAATGCTTTACAGACATGTGCAGTACATGTAGCCATATTCGTTGTCTTTCTTTGTCCTCATTCGGAAATTGACCGGAAATTATGAAAATAAATGAATTGTTGGTTCATCTTGTATTTCTTTTCATGTACTACTACAGCCATATTCCCCAAGGTCTGACTTACAAACCTTGGAAATGCCTAGTCGTGATAATTAATGTTACATGACGTTCGGTACAAATGAATTATCCATTATAACTTGTGAATGATACAATAGCTAGGGGAAAGGTCAATTTGATGGTTTTATATAATTGCGAGAGCCATATTTTATATACTGTACATTCT